TTGCTTTTTCCTTGAAATTTCGAGATCTATTCATGGCTTCCTCAGGAAAAATGAGGTCCCCGGAATGTGCATTTCAATCTTTAGATGAGGAAGTTAGAAAGGGATGGATGATGAGAACCTAAGCACTAAAAAAGCCACAACGGATCAGGTCCCAAGGAAGAAGGGTTTAGCCCTCTGCTTCCTCTGCTACAATTCTCCAAATTACACGTATATATATTTTTATTTTGATATATCTCAAGGGTTAAAAGCTTCATCAACTACCTTCCAAGCTAAAAGTTTCAAATTTAAATATTGAAATGACTAGAAGGGAGAGATTTGAAAATAAAAGGGTTATCCCACGAAAAAAATGAAGGAAGCTCATGCAGCAACTAATTGTCCTTAATTACTTTGGTTGCAGGGTTCCCTGATGCTGCTGATTATTCCAAAGATAAGCGTTGGAATACTTTACTTGGCAATGGTAGCATTAATTGTGGACAAAGCAGGAGAAGTATTCATACTCATTTTCCTCCGTGACCATCTTCAATTGGAAAAGCCAGAACAGGAAAAGAGGTAGCTATTTACAGGTTTCTTCCTAGACTTTTTGGGGTGACAATAGCTGTCTCTTGGATATCACGCCTTGACTGGACAATGCCAACTCGCATGTCTTCAACAATAGTAACCGGAATCGTTTACTTGTTTTCTTGTTCTGGCTTCATGTATTTCAACCGTTTAAATCAATTAAGTTCCAGTTCAAGGCTGCAGCTTAACGAGTAAGACTATCAATTATTTCAATCTATAGTACTCTGCTAATTAGTTCATTACATATATTATGTGGACACCAATCCTTATCTATTATGGCTGTTTCTAATAAAATCCAGGCACAATAAAGAAAAAAAGACTCAACCATTATGGCTGTTCCTAAGAAAACTGCCTTTGTGGACACCAATGACCAATCCTCGTCTCTTTGGTGGTTGAGCAGCAGGTTCCACATTCTTCATGGAACATTGTACCACATCAATGGATCAAATCGGAAAATTCAAGGTTCCTCATGGCGAAACTTCATTTTTAGTGTTACAGAAATGCACAAGCACCATAGTAGACGTTGTGATTTCAAAGTTTTGCAGTGGCAGTAACATTAAAAAACGACGTGCTAGGCTTGTGAGAATGACTTTAGAGATAAGTGCTTGTTTTGTGTGCTGCTTAGTTGCTTGTCATTTTGAGATTCACAGATTGGATTTAGTCAAAGAATATTCGCACAGCAACCACCTTCCCATGAGCATCTTATTGCTGGCTCCACAGTTTTCCTTGCTTGGACTTGCGGAAGGACTTCTTAAAGACGGTATGGACAATGTCTACAAGGACTACTTACCAGTATCCATGCATCATTTTGGAATGACATTAGGTAATTCTCTGGTTGCTCTGGGAAAATTCATTGGACTGGTGTTTATTCATGTTTTTCGATTTTGGATTGGTGACAATGTGAACTCAAGTCATCTTCAATATTACTATCTCATGTTAGCACTTCTCACCACCGGTGCCATAATTCTCTTCTTAATTCTTGCCAACATCTACCATTGGGAGATACACTCAAGGAAAGAGGATCATGACTCAATTTCCGAAATAGATATCATTAATGTAACCATCTCCATTACTTCAGTAAGAATCGGCAGCTCTGAAGAAGAATCCCTTGCCGGAGTAGATGATATTTAAAATAAATGAACAGTTACACTCTTTGAACGTTGATATTTCTTTCTTCACTTTATCAAAATTTCAGTTTATTCAATCCATTTTTTTTTTTTTTTGGTAAGCCAAAAAATTTTATTCCTATGTGAGGGAGAGTGGGTATAGAGTTGGGACTGGCGTAGGGAATTATATGCTTGGTAGTCTAACATGGTGCACGATTGGAAGATACACTGAGGGCGGTCAAAATAAAACAAGGAGAACCGGACCACTGGGCATGGAGATGGTACAGTTGTGGTCACTACACTGTCAGAACAGCTTATCAGCAACTAACTCCTGCTCAGCAGACTCAATTGAACGGAAATCTCAATCTGGTGTGGAACCGACTTGTTCCGTTGAAGGTTGCTGCACTGGCGTGGAGGTAGACTGCCAACAAAAAATAATCTGACCAGGAAGGGTGTCTGTTGAGTGGAAAAATCCTATAAGTATGTGAGTTAAATATAAGGAGAACTACTCTATTTATTGTTAATTAATTTTAAGTTGGGTGTAAATTTTGTATCGAAACCACATATACAATTTTCATATAGCATTAAAACTGTCCTAAAAAGCTTTAAATTTGAGGAGGGTCACTTCATCTATTGTCAATTAATTTAAACTTGGATGCAAGTCTTAAGGATAGTGGAGAGCATTAGTAGAGAGACCAAATGCGGCAAATGCATAGAAAAAGAGGAAATTTTAAATCATTTGCTTTTTGAATGCATGCAATCTTGGAAGGTGTGGACTTCATGTTATTCTTGGTGGGGGTTTTTCTTATGTTCCCAGTCAGGATGTCAAGGAGCATTTCAAACAACATGCTGGTTTAATGGGCAACAAAAAACTCACAGAGGCATGGATGGTGATTTGGTATGCTGTGATATGGTCTTTATGGTCTTTAGCCCCTCAAAAGAATCAAGCAACTTTTGGAAATGAACAAGTTGAGGAGGAGGAGCTCGTGGAACTGGTAAAGTACAGATCATTTTATTGGTTATGGGCAAATTTGGTATCTAACTTGTCAATTGAGTTATGGAAGTCCGAATCTAGGAGTGCTTTCTAATAGGATGAAAGAATAGGATGAGAGTGGAAGATAGTCTTATTACTCACTGAGATTACATATATATACAAATTGAGAGGTTGCCCTAATTAACTCATATGAAAAGAACTAGTAGAAATAGAAATATACATAATGTGCATAATCCTTATTAATGCAGAATATATGATTGACATAAATTGACTGTGAGAGAAATCAAGACTTAACATTCCTTGAGTGTAATGGAGCCATGATTGATGCTGCAGTGTTATGTGTTTCCTTAATATGCCCCCGCAAGATGGTGGAGCAAGGCAAATCGAGATGAAGACAATGGCTTAGTCAACCCATTGGCAAGTTGATCAATGGAAGCAATATGGGAGACGCGAAGAATTTTCTTGTCAACGAGATCACAAATGAAATGAAGATCAATTGCGATGTGCTTCATGCGAGAGTGCATGACTGGATTACTATTGAGATATGTGGCGCCAACATTATCACAATAGAGTACTAGTGGAGCACCTACAAGAATGCCAAGTTCAGTCAACAAATGTAGTACCCAAACTAACTAAGAAGAAGCAACTGCCAGAGCACGGTACTCTGCCTCGATTGAACTTCGAGCAATGGCCTTTTGTTTGCTGGCCTTCTAGGAGATAGGTGTAGCACCAAAAAAGACAATATAGCCAGTAGTGGAGACACATGTATCCTTGTCTCTGACCCAGTTAGAATCACTAAAAGCATGAGGAGTAAGAGAAGAAGTGGGCCATATCAATAGTCCATGGAACATAGTATGCTTCACATAGCGTAAGATACGTTTGACGACTTGCCAGTGCATCTCAGTGGGACAGTGCATGTGCTGAGACAACTTATTGACAGCAAATGAAATGTAAGGACGAGTTAATGACAAGTACTACAAGGAGCCAACTAATCTCTGGTAATTTGTGCCATTTGAAAGAGGTGGAGAACTTGTGTGATGAGACAACCTCGAAGAGGACATGGGTGTTGCAACCGGTTTGGCACCATCCATTTTATGCTTCTACAAGAAGTCATTAATATATTTGTGCTGCAAAAGAAGTAATCCAATAGAAGTTTTAATTGCCTCTACGCCCAAAAATAGACTGAGTTCACCAAGATCCTTTAGTGAGAATTTCTGCCCCAACTTGTGGATTAAATCCGAGATAAAAGCAGCACTGTTCCCAGTAGTCAATATATCATCAACATTGACTAGCACATAGATAATAATTCCGACATTGTTATAAATGAATAAAGAACAGTCTAATTGAGAATTGACTAAACCACAATAAAAAGAAACTTTTTCAATTCAATGTACCATGCCCTTGGTGCCTACTTAAGGCCATAGATTGCTTTCTTCAGTTTACAAATGTGATGAGGAAGAGTTGATCAATAAAACCTGCCGATTGAGCCATGTACAAGTCTTCCTCAACAGAGCCATGAAGAAAGGCATTGTTTACGTCAAGTTACCAGATTGACCAAGCTTGACTCACAGCAATAGTAAACACAGTGAAAATGGTGGTGGGTTTGTTAACAAGACTGAAAGTGTTGGAATAGTCATACAAGGACGTTGGTGAAATCCTTTAGCCACCAACCGCACCTTGCAACGCTCAATTTCACCATTTTTGCCTCTCTTTAACTGGAACACCCATTTGCACCCGATAACATTTTGATGTGGAGATGGCAGAACTAAATCCCAAGTTCCTTATCGAACTAGAGCATCAAACTCATCCAACATAGCCCTCTACCATTGGGGTGACTCAAGGTTTGACTCACGCATGATGGCTCAATGGTGGCGGGGAAAGGGTGTTTGGTGGCAAGGTGCGTCTATTTGGGCTTAAAGATATTATTTAAGGACCAGCATCATGGGGTGAGTTAGGTGCGTGATGGGTGATGAGGGTGGAGGGGAGGTCAGTGCTAACCCAGGTAGAGGAGATTCAGTGATTAGGGAAGAGATGGTAAGCCTTAGTGATGAAAAGGAAGAGGTAGGGGATGGGGAGGGGGAAGGGGATGTCGAGATAGAGAAAGGATGAGATGTACTTTAGCAGGAAGGAGAGCAAACCAAATCTGAGCCGCAAGTAGAGGGGGGCGATGCGTCCTGTGAAGTTAGGATGACAAAGTCCGGCAGAGGAGAGGCGGTAACAATGAATGGTAAGGGTGATGGCAAGGCTGGGGGAGAGGCAAAGGAAGGCAACGTACAGGAGAGGCCAGGGTTTGGTGTTGGAGAAGATGGCTATGGAGGGATTAAAGAAAAAAGTGATTGTGGAGTATAGGTGAGAACAAGAGAAAGCTGATTTAGAGGGGTTGATTGAACAGTAAAGTCCTGAAGGAAATTGATTTGGAGGGGTTGATTTTCATGCCTTGAAATGCATATTTTATTAGTGTGAGGATCAAAGCACTTGTAGCCTAGGTGATCAACAGAGTACCCAATAAAGATACACTGATGGGATATGGCTTGGAGTTTATTTTGGGTATAAGGACGCATCCAAGGAGAACAAACACACCCAAAAGTTTTGAGTTTTAAGTAATTTGGGGAAATAGAGAATAGTTTTTGGAATGGAGATATAAAGGACAAGATAGGGGTAAGTAAACGATTAAGTAAGTAGACCGTAGTTTGAAAAGCATGAGACCATAATTGAGTGGGTAGGGAGCCATAGTGTAGTAAAACTAGACCAGTTTCAATAATGGATCTATTACGTCTTTCACAGACGCCATTCATTTCTGGAGTGTAAGGTGGAGTGGTAAAATGAGAGATATCGTTTTGTTGAAAATAATTTCGAAAAGCAATGTATTCCCCACCCCCATTAGAATAAAAATTAAGTATTTTATGCCCAAATTGATTTTCAACTAGGGACTTAAATTTGGGAAAGAAGATGGAGACATCTAATTTATGTTGGATTGGATATAGCCAAACATATCGACTATATAAATCCACAAAAATAACAAAAAATCTGTTCCCATCAATAGACATGGTAGGTGCAAGACCTCAAACATCAGAAAAAATATATTCAAGAGGAGCATGGGAGTTTGTGGCTTTTAGAACAAGAATAAGAATCACAATAAAAATCATCGGATTTGTTTATTAATGGCAAATTAATAACACTGAGAATTTTTTAAAATATTTTAGATGATAGATGTCCCAACCTTGCATGCCAATTTATTGTCGATGTCTTCTCCCCAAGATATGCCATGGGCATTTGTTTAGTGGGGCACATTAGAGGAACTTGACACATCCCATGCCGATTTGGCCTTTGTAGTAGTATCACCCCCATGTTGCGATCCGTCACCAAGAAAAAATTAGGATGAAATTCAACAATAGAATTTGTAGTTTTGCATAATTGAGAGACGGAAATTAAATTGTGAGAGGTTGTAGGTACACATAAGACATTATTTAAAGGAATAGATGAGGTGGGTGTTGTGAGAGTTGTATGACCAACATGAGTGATTTTCAAACCTAAGCCATCTCCAATTAATAGTTCATTAGGACCATTATATTATGAATGTAGTGCCAAGTTGGACAAATCAATGGTGATATGATTATTCGCACCCGAATCAATCAACCATCCATTGGTATTCGAACCGATAGAGGCTACATAGTGTGCTGTGGGTCCTTGATTTTGAAATAAGGAACATGTACAAGCAGTGTGCCCAAAATTGTTGCAAAGTTGGCAAGATATATTAGGCCTACTAGTGTTGGGTTGATTTGGGGCTCCTCTTTTTTTTTGTGAAATTGATTTGGTCTATTGTGCCCATTTCTTCCTCTTACCAATTGTTGTCTTGATCCAAATGTTGCATGTTTTGTGGTAGTGGTAGATTTCCTACACCATTGAACTGAAAAGAAGCAGAATTTGTCGACAGATTAGAATTATTACTAGCAACTCTTCTAGTGGGCATGGTAACAAAATGAGCAGTCACTGGTGTATTTTCAGTCCGAGCTTCTTCCCTGTGCATGCTTTCTTCATATGCAACTAATTTGTCATGAAGTTCTTCAAATAAAGGTGGCTCGTCTCAAGCACGCTTTGAAGTAAAGATCTCACAAAATTCAGGTCCTATCCCATTGAGTACATATACCACCAGATCATCATTGGTAAGGGGTTTATCTATAGCAGCAAGTTCATCAGCAAGCACCTTGAGTTGATGAAGAAATTTGGTAATGGTGCGACCATCATGGTGAGTGGTTTGGAGCCGCTCCTTGAGTGTAAAAACTCTAGATCTTGAGTGATTAGCATAGAGATTGGCCAAGATTTTCCAAGCCTGCTGTGAGGTCTCAGTAATAGATATATAGGAAGCAATTGGTTCTAAAACCGATGTGAGGATAGCATGTCAGATTGATTAATCCTGGTGGATCTAGAGTTCAAAAGGTGAGTCAGGAACCTCTTCGGTTGATGCTGGTGGGCAAGGTTTGGATCCATTGAGGAAGCCAGTTAATTTGTAAATAGTAAAAATAGATAGAAATTGTGCCCACTAAGACAGATAGTTGCTGGGAGTGAGTTTGAGAGGAAAATGAGGAGCAATGTTGAAGGTGATGATGGTATTTTGTCCAATGGGAATGGCGACATTGGTGGAAATGGGAGGAGAGGTGATAGTTGTAGAGGATTCATTGGCCATTAGTAGTGCTCGTTTGAGAGAGAGCTCTGATACCACTTATTACTCATTGAGATTACATATATATATATATATATACAAATTGAGATGTTGGCCTAATTAACTCATATGGAAAGAACTAGTAGAAATAGAAATATACATAATGTGCATAATCCTTATTAATGCAGAATATATGATTGGCAGAAACTAATTGTGAGAGAAATCAAGACTTAACATTCCTCGACTGTAACTGAACCATGATTGATGCTACAGTGTTATGTGTTTCCTTAATACTTTCAAACTATATATTATTTAATTAGATCTGTAATTATTTGCATCTCTTTCGGAATTTTTTTATGTATACCTCACTTCCTTGATCAAGACTTTTTGAGAAAAAAAAAAAGAAAAAAAAAAAGAAAAAGTAAAAGTAAAAGATAAGGAGAGTAGAGAATCTTCATATTCAGATAGAAATACCATTCAACAACTCAACAACCTTACTCATTGCGGGTCTTTCTCTTGAGGCCTCATTGGTACACATATTAGCTATTCTAAAATACTCTTTCACAGTCTCTAACACCAATCCTTCCTTGCAAATATTTGCTCCAAACATTTCCATTTCCCGATTTTGGGCCACCATGTTTCTAGCCCATTGGACTAATCCTACCTCCACTCCATCTAGCATCACGGGCCAGTTGGGCCGCCTTTGCGTGGCAATCTCAATCATCAGGATCCCAAAACTGTAGCAATCTGCCATCACCGTCGCCGCCGTATTCCCTTCCCGGTACTCCGGTGGCATGTAGCCCATTGTCCCGGCGACTTGAGTTGAGACGTGTGTGTGGGCCGCCTTCACCCTCCTTGCAAGCCCAAAGTCAGCAATATGGGCATCAAAGTTTGAGTCCAGTAAGACATTGCTGGCCTTGATATCTCTGTGGATGATGGGCGTGTCCAGCCCATGTAAATAAGCCAGACCATTGGCTATTCCCTTGACTATCTTGATCTTCGTTTCCCATGATAATGGCGACCGGCAGACCAACCGGCCGTGCTCTTCTCGGGATGACGTGTCGTGTAGCCATTGGTCCAAACTACCCTTTTGGAGAAACTCGTAAATAAGAATCCGATCATCACCGGCCGAACAGAACCCCAGAATCTTCACGATGTTCGGGTGGCGGAGCTTGCTGAGAGTTTCCATTTCGGCCCGGAATTCTCGGAAGCCCTGGAAGGCATCTGGGTCGAGTTTCTTGATAGCGACGGTGTCGCCGTTGGAGAGAGTGGCCTTATAGACGAGGCCGAAGCTGCCATCGCCAACTATGAGATCCGATGAGAAGTTCTTGGTGGCGACGGTGAGTTCGACCATGGAGAGCTGGTTGAGAGACCGATCAAAGCTGGCGCTATCAAATACCGAGATGGAGTTGAGCTCTGGAGGGTTAGGGGCTGGGCGGGTCCGAGCGGTTGAACGTGTCTGGGGGCGGTGGGTCGATGATTTCTTCTGCTTGCAGAGGAGAATTACAGAAGCCAAGAATACCGTCAACACGAAGAAGCTTACAATTGCGGCGAGGACTGCTTGGGTTGGAGAATCCATGGTGAGAGATGGATGAGCGAGGGGAGAAGGGATGTTGAAGGGAGAAAGATGGGAAAAGAGAGAGAAAGGCAATGGGAGCCACCATTGAAGGTGTTTTTCAAGGAAGGTTCGTGAAGGTCAATGTTGCCGTTGTGGAGTCGTGGAGACGACGAGTCAACGGAGAGAAAGGAGGGGCTGGGATTGAGTGTGGTGCTTCTACTGTGTGTATGAATCGTTGGATCGCACCTCTGGCTCCCCACTATAAAATTGCGTTTTATAATTTTGGGTCAAATAGATGATTGTCAAACAGAGGATGAGATTAGCTGGGGACCCCACACGGAGTTTTGTTTTTGAACAGGTACAATGATGTGGAGATGAAAAAAAAAAATGATATTCTTGTAACTCAACTTAAATATTAGGTGCACCTAACCATGACAATTGGTGTACGAGACCTGTGCGGCTGTGCCCCACACGGAATTATGTTCTAAATTTCTCTCTAAAATTACGTTTTTTTTTGTTTTTTTCTCTGCCCTATGGGACCCGCCAATTCATGGATTTTCTTGGTTGAACGTTTGAGATTGAAGAGGATTGTGCACTGTTGGATCTAAATTTGCAGGATGGACTCAGCTGAATACAGCTAGAGCGGAATTTGCTTATGGAGCGTAGAGACCAGAGAGGGTATATTATATTAATTTGAAGAGCAAAACAACATGCAAATTTTATTCATCTTGGATTAGGTAGGGATATATCCTTTCCCAAGCAGCATTTGCACAACACATATGAATCATGAAAACACACAAAAATAACATAATTAACAGACCATTGGAAGATACAGCAAACCACTGAAAGTTAATTACAGCTAGCATTGCTAGGAAATTTATGAAGCCTCTCAACTCTTTTTAATTTGTTCTCCGCTTTTGTCCTTATTGAATCTTTTCAGGGGATTTTCCAGTAATTTATTGGCAAGCACTACGATGATGAACAGTAATGAGGAGCAAAAGGATATAATCGCAAGCATGCGATAGTAATAGAGAAGATTACTTCTTCCAATGTCAGAGCCAATCCAGCAAGAAATGCAGAGCAAGTTCGCTAAACCTTCTGCACATTCACATACTGCTTTTTTATGAAATTGCTTGGATTTAGATAGAAACAGAGGAATTCCATCAGCCCTTCATTAGCTATTCCTCTCGTCAGTCCTGACAGAAAATATGGTGGCACTAACCAAAACACACTTATTGATAGATCTACTGCTATTATCCAGTCTGCAAACCTCAACGACACTAGCTATTATGCAGCATAAAATGGAGAAAACCATCCCAACACTAATCCTGGAAAGCCTAGCCCACTGTTTTTCCCTTTCATGTCCGCACAACTTTTTTATTAGACAACTACACACCTAGCAGGCTAGAAAATCTACAAATTTTTTAGCCAAATAGAACATGCCTTCAGGAAGCCTGTGGCTTTGTTTAGTATTGTCATCTACATAATTAACCTGTGCGATGAAGAAAGTGTTACCTGTTGCACTGACTAGATAGCAGTTAAATATATATGAATGTAAACAATAGAGGGAATAATGTGAGAAGAACTTCTCCTGCTTGCTTTGACATATCTGAAAAGAAGGAAGCTTGATATTGCTCTCAATCATTTTCTTTATCTTGTTTCTCTTCAACTTCTTTTTTCCTTTTTGTTGACTGTCTTCAATTTTCTTTTCCTCCTTGTGTTATGATTTGAGGCCAAACCAAAAGAAAAAATGATAACCTATCATCATGAGTGGTGTTGAATACTTGAAGGTTTCATCCAAAAGAAAGCGCTGAGGAATAGACTGAGCCTATGATAGCCCCTGGAGGCTGGAACTCTAGCAACAAATAACTTATTAACACGTGAAGGATTGATATCCTTCTCTGAGTCCTTTGAATCCCCAGCTGCATTTACGGTGTCCCTCGGTGGAGATCTAGCATTTTTAGAGTTTCGTGAATCCCCTTTCACTCCTGTGATGGCTCCTGAACCGTTCTAGCAATAGGTCTAGCGGATTCCTAAACAACAGATATGTAGTCCGGTACTTCTAGCGGGACATCTTGGTCGTCTTCTCTCCAATAGGCGTCTCTTCCCACTGACCATCATCTTTACATAAAAGATAAGCTAGGCATCTTTCTCCTGCTTGGCCCATCGGTTATTAGCAGTGCAGGTCCAATGTCAAAATACAAAATGTTCGAGGATGAATTAACCCACGGTAGCAACTTACCCTGTAACAATAATACCCAATTATTTATAAACGTTATCTCGAGCTCATTATTGAAGTTAGCCATGACATTAGGCTATAGACCTTCATTCTTGATAGTGACACTCACGTTAGTTTTAATTAGTTGCAATTAGTAGTTTGTTTTTAATGCAATGGGTAGTTAATTTGTTTTTGTTCATAATATTTTCCTTCTATTTTTATTTTTATTTTTTATTTTTATGTAAAAAATAAAATTATTAATAAAAACTGTGTGTTCTATTTTTCTTTTCTATTTTTTTCTCTTGTCTCCATACAAGTTTACACTAATAAATTTGAGAGTGGTCATATCAAAATAAAATAAAATTTGAGAGTGAGTGTTATTAATAGATACTCCTTTGTCCCACAATTCTTAGTTAGGCATACAATTTTTTTTTTCTTTTTTAACTTTATACTATAAATTACGTGAAGATTGTGATATATATAAAAAGACAATATGTGATTACTTGATGTATACAAAAATGAAAACTTACAGAGATGTAAGTTGAATACGTGAAGAGAATCACTCTGAGGAGACCCATGCGAAAACATCCCATGTATAACAAGAGAAGGCTCAAGAACCCTGAAAGTGCTCCTTGGACATTCGCAACGGCTGCTAATGTTTTGAGGCCGTGCACTTTCCAGTTTTGTTGTATGACCAAAATCAAGTAACCAGAAGATCCATGTTCTGCTAGAGAATGGCCGGAAAGTAAACCTCATGCCATGCACTCAAGACTCAACAGTGGATGGTTAGTTCATCTCCTATATATGCTAGCTAGCTAGCTACTTTCTATATCTCACATTTCATTTCTTCAAACCGCATCGAAGATATATTTAGTAATATTAACAGCTAGCAGTATAGCACCTGTGAGGAGCAAATCAGCCCTGGACAAGGGGAAGTAAGAATATATTTCCTGCTTTTTGTTCGAGGATCTACAGTTATTTTGTCCCAGCGAGGAGATGCGAGATATAAGCCCTATCATTTTGCGAACCAAGAAACAATTAGCACCAGTCCACGTGAAAATTACTGATGGAGAGTTTTGAAAAATTGAAAAGAGTAATTTACTTTTTTTTTAATTAATAAATTACAAATTAAAGATGGGAGAAATTAAATTCAGACTGAGAGTGCATTTATTAAGATAGTAAAGTTTGACAGGTGCATTTGTTTCATTAGGAAA